TGGCTCTGATTCTGTTAATGGGGCCAACAGCCCCCTGCACATGCGGAGAGGAGGGGGCAGAGGGGGGAGCCGTCCCTGGCCTGGTGGAAGGGGCTGAGGGACCGTCCCAGGGGGTCGTGGAGGTCCAGAGAGGGGAGGAGACCCACCAGGGTCACACAGATCCCGCCCTGAGAGAGACCCTGACTTGTAGCCAGGGTGAGTCCTGCCCCTCTGCCACGGGGCTCCTGGGGAGCAGGCTGCAGCGCCCCAGGGCTCCTGATGCCCCTGGGCAGCTGGGGTGAGTCCTCAGGCGCAGGGAGCTGGCAGCCACCCCGTGGATTCTTCTGGAAGGAAGAGGTGTGCTTTTGCTGCTGCTGGAGCTTTAACCATGGAACCTCCCCTCCATGCTCCCTGAGCAGAGGAGGGGGTGCTCAACTCAGAGCTGGATCTGGGGCTGGCAGAGGACAGAGGCCCCAGAAGACCACCCCCCCATGTCCCTAAGCCCAGGTCTTGTGTTCACAGGAGACGTGGGGTGAATTCAGACAACGGAGGAGGCAGGGGTCAGGATTCGGCCGATTCTGCTCAGGGCCAAACTGCTCAGCAGGGATCAGAGCCCTTGGGCACGTAGCTGGTCCTCCTCAGCCGGGGCGGTGGGGTGTCCACCCCTGCGGGAGGCCTCACTGCCAACAGCAATCAGACTTCCTGTGACACACGCCACTCTCCCCAGGGGGCTCTGTTCTATCCCACGTCCAGGGCACTGGGGCTGGGGACGCTGTGGACTCCTCAGTGGGCCTCCCTGGGGCTGGGGACGCTGTGGACTCCTCGGTGGGCCTCCCTGGGGCTGGGGACGCTGCGGACACCTCGGTGGGCATCCGACTGAGTCTCCATCCTTGGCCTTTCTCACCTGGTGCCTTCCAGATGCCCTGGGGATATGTGAGACACAGCTTCGTGCCACAGGGGACCAGAAGGGACTTTCAAATACCAACACAGCCTGGGTGCTGTGAGCAGCGCAGAGCTGCGGCTCCAACCAGAGAGGCTTGCCCGACTCCACTGCCCAGCTGCCACCTTGTGGCTGCCCAGTCCTACGTCCCAGCCAGGACCATGGACAGGGAACCCCCCGCCCACTCTGCGTGTCCTTCCCCTCTTCCACCAGCTGTGGGGAAGCTCTGTCTAAGGGGCCCACAGCAGCCAGCCTGCTCTGGGCCCCGAAGTGCTGGGGTCCAGGTCCCAGGAGACACTCGCAGGTGCCCCTCCACAGCACACAGAGCAAAGCAGCTCTTTTTCGGGCCCAGGGTTCCTGCTTGGCTCCTGCTCTCCTGGTTGGGGGCTCGAACCGAGCTGACCTCCTCTGCTGCCCAAAGCAGACCTAAACTTTGACAGTGGCCTCTGGGGTCTAAGCCCAGTGCCCCGGATGCTGCCGGACATCAAGTGGATGACAGGATGGGGCACCCACCGGTCAGCCCAGACCCTCGGCTGGCCCTGCAGACCTCACTGTGTCCTGGGGAGACCTGGGGGGGTCTTAGCAGATACAGTCCCCACTGTCTTCGGGGCAGCGACAGTGCTGGCCAGGTCAGGGATCCCAGCCCCTCACAAGTCCCAACCATCCGCAGTAGCCCTAGGGGCGGCCAGCGCCCCACACTGGGGGAGGCTCCCGGTTCCGTGGTGGGAATTAATGAGGTACTGTGTGTGCAGGGCTCAGAAACCTGGTAGAGCAGGACAGTCCTCACGGACCCCTTTTACAGACGGGGAAACCGAGGCCAGAGAGGAAAAGGGGCTGGGCTGGAACGGGGTCTCCCGAGCCCTGACCCAGGGCTCCAAGTGGAAGTGGACCTGGTTAGCGACCCTGCATGCAGTCCCTGAGCGCTGCCTGGAGATCAGGTCCACATGGTGGTCAGCACAGGATGCTGGCGAGGAGAGCAGCTTTGGGGGCTGCCCCTTGGAGTCGCTTTCTGAGCACTCCCCGTTAAAGAGGGTCGAACAGCCTTGTCCTGATGTGCAGAGGAGGGCACCGAGACTCAGGGACAGGAGACCGTCCTGAGGCCTCACGGGGAGGCAGGATTTGAATGCAGGTCTCTAATGGCAAAGTATAAGTGCTCCCTGGCCGTGGGCAGAAAGGCAGTGGTCCCTCACAGCGGGCTCCCAAAGGCCACCCTCTGTCACCCACACACCCCGATACGCCTGGAGGTGGCTGCGCTGAGGCCACGTCAGTGGGAGGGGCTGCTGGCGGGGGAGGAGGCCATGGGGAAACGCGGGGACCCCACTCCAGCCACGCTGCCAGCTCCCCTGCCGCCGTGCGGCTCTCCAGCTGTGTGACAGGGCTGGTCGTCCCCAAGCTCTGAGCCCAGCTTCCCTGGTCCTGCTTTTCGAGGAGCAGCAGGGTGCTGCTGGCCCAGCCCGCTGGTCGCTGGTCGGGGCTCTGCCCTGCCTGTCCCCTGCCTGTCCCCTGCCCGTTGGCTCCTCCCAGCTCCCTGCCCCTTGACCCAGCAGGTCAAGGCACATGGCTTCCTGCACAGCCAGGCCCACGGGGGGTCCCTTGCGGCCCCACTCTTGCTTTGCGCCATCCTGACCCTGTCTGTCCACATCCCTGGGCTCCTGGCAGGAGAAGCCGGAGGAGTGGAGGGCAGAGGTCTGGGCTGGGGGAGCTGATCTCCCAGGGGAGACCCGGGTCCATGGGGCTCCTGGCCTCTGAGGAGCCCCCTCCCCTGGACACCTCTAGATGTGACCCAGGGCCAGCAGCCACCTGGGAGCCCCTGGCTTGGGGCTCTGCTGTCCTGGTGGGTGTCTGCCCGTGTCCTCTTGGCTATTTGCCTGCTCCCTGGTGGCTTACAAGGCCCCGGGTTCCGGAGCAGCCAGGAGCTCCAGTGGGGTGAAGCGGTCCTCAGCTGACCGGAAGCCGGAGTCCCTGGGATCCGGAGTTCCCAGCAGGAGATCCAGCCCCACCAGGTCTGTTAATCATTCCCTGCGGATCTGGAACTGTGCTGTCACACAAAGGCCACGGGGGCAGCACGAAGACCGCTCGTGAACACTGCGGGGCATTCTGGTGACCGTCCAGGGGCCAGCTGCAGAGTCAGCTGCCACCCAAGGGGCCATGGCCAAGAGGTGGCACTGTCCAGCATTCAAGGGGACTCCCTGGGGCCCAAGTTGCCCCAACGTCCTCACACCCCTTCAGACCTGGTGGGCTGGGAGGGGGTCAGAGGGGCCAACTGAACCTGGACTGCCCAGTGATGACCCCTGCAGCCCCCTGAGAGGTCAGTCTCTGTGGACCCAAGAGGACAATGCCATTTACCTGCCAACAGAGGCTGAGCAGCTGGGGAGGCAGGTGGGGGTTAAACTTCCTATGGGGGAACCTATAGGAAGGTGGATAAGCACAGCACAGGCCAGGAATCGTGTCCACTGAGCATCTACTACACACCAGGCACACACGCGCTGGCCACCCCACGCCTGCCTGGCCAGCCTTCCCCATCAACTCCTATGATGTCCCCTCTCAGGGGGGACATGAGGAAGGAAACAGGGCGGGCTGTCCCAGGGACTGGCTCCAGGGGCTGAAGGGAGCCCCTCGGCCTCCTGAGCCAGATGCAGGATCAGCCGGCGGTGGACATGGAGGTGCGCTCTTCCCGGGGACTTGGCCCCAGCCCCTGCCCCAGGCACATGTCCTGGCAGGGCCATCTCAGCAGAGTGGACGGCCGGGTGAGGGGTCCAGAGTGCTGCAGGCAGGGCAGGGTGGGCGGCGGAGGGGGTGGAGTGGCCGGGAGGCCTGGCTGGCCAAGGCCCAGTTCCGAGGTCGGGGCCTGATCCTGGGGTGGGGCAAGGGAGTGACGGGACGGGGCTGGCCCCCGGTATCCCCTGGGTGCTGGGCAGAGCTTGGGCAGAGGGACGAGAGGCTGTGGGGCTGCTGCAGGGATGGCCGGGCACAGGGAGCGGGGAGAAGGGGCGGCTCCAGATTTGATGAGCACCTGCGCAGGGAGGCTCCCCAGGACAGAGAGGGTCTGCCTAGTCCTGGGAGGGCACCGTGAGCCGGGGTTGAGGACACACAGAACCACCGGGCCCGGCCCTTTCCTGTTCCTAGGACCCCAGGAGCGGCTCAGCACCCAGAGGCCTGGTACCTCCGTCTCGGCAAAGGGGAGGCAGGTGCCCCTCAGAGCCAGGGCAGGGTGAGGAGATCAGGGCCTCCCTGCCCAGCCTTCCCAGCTAGTGGGGAGATGGGGTGGGCCAGGTGTGGGGCACCAAGAGGGGCTGTGGACTGGGGCTGGGGCTGGGGAAGTCCAGGGCCAAGGGCAGCTTGGTCTGTGCCTTGACTGTCAGCAGGGTGGCCGTCACCCCCACCGCACCCCCTAACCCCCCATCACAGGCAGAAAGTCTCGGGCGATCTGTGGACTTGGGTGTCTGCTGTCCCAAACTGGAATCATCCAGAAAAATCAATGCTTAACCCGGCGACTCCAACAGGGCCCTCAGCACGTCAGCAGGGGACCTGGACCTGGGTCTCCGGAAACACCCACTTGACTGTAGTCCTTGCCCGGAGTCCCCAAGCTGAGGCCTGGAGCCCACCCCGGCTCCGCACGAGGGCGCTCGCGGCCGGGAGGGGCTCCACACCGGGGTCCAGCCGAGCCCCGTCCTCCTGGGCCTGGCCACGGCCCTGAGGAGTCTCAGGTGCATTTTGGCTCCTGTCCAGGGATCACAGCGGGCCAGGGGACAGGACATCCTGGCTGCCCAAGGAGCAGAGGAGGGAGGGGCAGGGACAAGGTCCCAGGGCCCCGGATGAGGGCACAAAGGTGCCAAGCAGGGCCACTGCCCTGGGGAAGGGACCTGAGTGTCAGTCCTCGGGCCATGTGAGCCATGAGGTTGGATGGGTGGGGACCCCTACAGGTGAGGGGACCAAGGCTGAGAGAGCAGCAGGTGGCAGAGGGGGATGGGAGCCAGGGGGCCTACGCTGTGCGCCTGCTGCTGGCCAGAGGAGGCGGGGCTTCTTCAGGGGCCTCTGCTCCCTGCTGACCCTTTCCTCCCCTCGGCCTCTCTGTGCCAGGCCTGTCCAAGCATGTCCAGGGGCTGCTCCCCACAGCAGTCCTGACAGTCAATGCCAGCGGGACACCAGGCACAGAGAGGGCAGGTGCTTGCCCGAGGCCACACAGCCTGAGGTAAGGTTGAGCCACCAAGGCAGCCGCAGGGCCAGACAGACCAGGGGGCCGGCATCTAGTGTGCAGCTCTCAGGCCTCCAAAGGCCAAGGTCAGAACTTCTCTGTTCTTCGTGTCACCCCGGCCCCTTCTGCACTGGTCCTGGGCGGAGTGGCATGTGAGCCCCGAGGCTGGCCTGTACCAGGCCTCCTGGGGACGGCTGGACCTCAGCCACACCCAGGCAGGGCCTCTGGTGTGGACTCTGGGTTGGCATCTCTGTGAAGTCCACCGGCAGATGCTGACCCCCTGGAGTCTGAGGACTGCCCACCGATGCAGGCTTGCCCAGCCCCGTGGTAGACACTGCAAGTCCCTGGGCGGGACACCAGGGCCCAGTGAGTGTGGGACACGGTCCATGGGACAGAGACAAGATTCTACTCAGGGAGGCCCAGAAGCCTTCATGCCGAAGGTGAGGCGGAGGTGAGGCAGGGTCCAGCCGCAGAGCCCGGGAATAGGGGCTGCCCCGACTTGAGCACGTCGCAACTAACATGCTCAAGTCCAGGGGGAGACAGGACGCCACGGGGACCGATCACACCACTCAGGGCTGAGTCTGAGCTGTGGGCCAGCCCCATGTGACAGGCCCAGCACCCAGAGTCTCCACTGGGGATGAGACATGCCTGGCCCTGGGAGAGAGTGGCTGAGGGGACAGGGAGGGTCTCTTGACACCCTGAAGATGAGCCAGGAAATGCAGAGAGGAAGAAGCATAGGTGGAGCACGTGCAGGGGTCCTGGGGCAGGAGGGCGTGGGTGACGCTGGGGCAGGGAAGGGAGGCTGAATGAGGTCAGGAGGGGCAGCTGAGGGACCAGAGGGGTCAGGCCAGTCCTGCACGGCAGCTCAGGGACAAGTGGTATTTACATGAAATACAGATTCGTGGGTCTCACAGAGACCTGCTGGGTTGAGGTCTGCAGGGCCAGGGCCTGGGCATCTGTCTGGGACATTGCTGGACGATGAGATGTCATCGTGTGGGGTAGGGGAGAAAGGGCAAAGATGAAAAGTGTCAGGGCGGCAGAACAGACCCCGGTGTGGCGGGGAGGGGACAACAGGGCAGGAGCCCCCAGGGAGCAGGAGTCTCAGAGACGGCTAGAGGTGACCAGAACAGATGGACCCCCTGGTGGCCCCTGCGCCGACGTAAGCTGAAGGTAAGTAACCTTGAGGCTACACACCTGGGCAGGGGGGACACATACGTGGAGTGACCACCCACGCTATGCCAGGGAACTGCCTAACTTGAGGGGTGGTGGTCCACAAGGACAGGCCTCGGGGGTCAGTCCCACCCAGGGGTGCTGGGCCGAGTGGAGACTGACCCCTGCCCTTCTGCCCAGTGAATTCAAGTTTGGGCTCAGCTGCAAAAAAAGACCAGGGGCGCCACCTGGTGGTCAGAGTCTCGGCCATGGCCAGCTAGGTCCAGGCCAGGGTCCACCTTGTCCAGGGCTCCGGGGGTCCGTCCCAGCAGGACTCTGTCCTTTGGTAGATGCTCATGCCCACCCACTTGCCCCTTGGGCCTTGCAGAAGACCCATTAAGCCCTAAAGAACCCCCTGGTTGGGAATCTCGCACCCGGGGCAGGCTCCGATTCACCTGAGCTCAGGTTTCCTTCTAGATCTTTCTCCACGCACCCAGATACTTTTTAATTTACAAAGTGATTCATGCCCCACAGGGAGTCTGCGGGCTGGCTCCCACGCACCACTGGAGGGAGGACTCTTTCTCAGCAGCTGCACACGCCCTCGACGTGGCCGGAAAGCGGCTGGGGCGACGGCGTCCCCCCGCAGGTGGCGTTGACTAGGGGCAGGGTGAGTTTTCCGTTCTTGGTTTGCTTCCCTTGAGGAAGACTGGGATTTGAAAGTCCTCTGCACTGGGACGGGAAGGGGATTTTGACAAGTGCACGCTGGGGACAGACACCATGGTGCTGGGGAATGAGCCCACCCTGTCCCTGAGTTGCAATGGGGAGCCCAGAGATGCTGGACAATGACCTGTGGCCTGCCCCGGGCTCCTCTGGCTCTGGGGGTCCCAACTGCCTGCAGAAGACAGCCAGGAAGTGTGGGTGGCTGGCCAGTCGGAGCAGAGAGGGTCCCCAGTTTCCCCCCCCTGGGGGACAGGCAGTTGGCCCAGTTCATGGGCTGTTTGGAGGTGGGCTGTTCCGAGGGCTCAGCAGGTGGCTCTGTAAAGCCCCCGTGGGGTCAGTCCCCATCAGCATCAGCCTTTGCCACCCCTGGAGGGATGATGGGAGCTGAGGCCTGTGTCCACTTCACTGGCTGAAGCCTGTCCTCTCCACCTGTAGAAGGGCCCAGGCACCTTGAGGTTACAGAGGGGACCGACCAACAGGATGTGGCTCAGTTGCCCCACAGTAGATGTACTGTGTGCTGCCTGGGCTGTGGCTGTGCCGGGGACCACAAGCACATGGCCACCCACCGGCACCGCTCAAGGGCTCTCCACGGGTGGGCTCTTTTAAGCCCCTATTTTGCAGATGAGGACACTGAGGCTAAGGGGGACTTGTTACCAGAGGTCACACAGCCAGCAATGTGGACACCCAACAGTGGGCAGGAAGGGGCTGGGACTCGGGCCCTGGGCCTGGCTGCCACTTGGGGAGGTCTGTCGAGGGATCGCCTCTGTGTCAGTGACCCCTCTGGGCGGGGTGGGAGGCGATGGTGGTCAGCAGAGCAAATGGCCGTGACATTGTGAGAGGCACGTGGGGGTCACCGAGCCCCACCAGAGCCCAGAGAGTGAAGCCGCTGCCTCGCCAGGGCTGAGCAGGACGGGGCGGCGGCTGCTCCATCCTGAGCCCAAGGCAGGAGGAAACCGGGGCTGAGCAGGAGTCAAGGAGGAGGACCAGTCCTGGGAAGGCAGTGACCAGGGGGCTGAGGTGAGGCAGCTCGAGGTGGCAGGGGGACGAAGAGACTCTCCACCTCACTGCCCCCTGCTACACTCCAAGTGGCCACTGTTCCCTCCCTCCCAAAGACAATCACAGAGAGAGGGTGGCGATCACCCCAGGTCACACACGAGGAGACCGAGGACAGAGACTAGGTGCCTGCCCAAGGCCATCCAGCTGGAGGAGGCTAGTTCTGGACTTTGGACCTGGGGTGGCCCCATTTTTGTCCTCCGTGTCCCTGCGCTGTTGTGTGGACGGGGAATGTCCCCCTGTGTGCTGAGCAGAAGGGAGAGCATGGGCTGATCAGGTGCCCTTGGGGTTCAGCGGGGACCCCCAACTCCACTTCCTCACCACCCAGAAGAGGCATCTCGGAGCAGGATGTGGGGCTCTTCCCACCACAGCTGTCTTCACTCCCGTGTCCTGGGTTTGATCCCGGTGGGCTCGACTCTGCCTGTGTGACCCTGCGAGTGGCTCGACCTCTCTGTTTCACTTTTTTCACCAGGTGAAGGGGGTTAAGAAACCTTTCCCGCAGAGCTGGTGGAGGAAGGGTTGGGGGAGCCGCCAGGCTGCCAGTGAGCTTGTGGTGAGCTCCTGCTGGCTCCTGCAGGAGCTGTGGTGGAGGCTCCTCGGGATCAGGGCAGGTTGTAATTGTGTCCCCAGGAAGGAAGAAAACCACCCGAGAGTGGCGCTGGGTTTGGGCCCTTCCCTGGGCTTTGGGCTCAAAGCTGGAGGGCCAGTGGGAGAGTGACACAGGAGCTTGGCCAGGGCTCTGTGCCCACATTGGGGGTGTGCAACACCCCAAAGCCATGGGGACATGTTGTGTGTCTGGCCACTGTTGGGGAAGGAGCAGAAGGGGTCCCAGAGCCCCTGCCTGACCCTTGTTTTCAAAGTTTCCAAGTTCAGCCTGTGTGTGGCGGTCAGGTAGCCAACGGGCAGCAGGTGGCGCTCGGCCCAAGGCTGTGGAAGTGCTGGAGCCGTGGTGCTTGGCCAGGTCAGTGGCAGCAGGTCTTCCCGCCTCCAGCCGCCTACTGCCATGGAGTCGCCAGAAGGTGGCGCTGGGTGGCAAGCGGCTCTGCCTCACGCCTTCTCTGGGAACCAGCCAGAGCTACTGGGGTCACCGCTGAGGCTTGGTGTGCCAGTTAATGGCAGGCACAGAGGTCCCCACCTGGGGCTGCGAGGCACATTGAGGAAGTCCTGCCTGGGCCCCCACTGGGAGACCTTTGTCCATCAGTAGGTGCAGGGTGACCTGGGATCCCCACAAGAGCCCCTCTTATCTGACCACGCAGAAGGTGCTTTTCTTCCTCCTGGAGGAGGAAACTGAGGGTCAGAGGGGACGGCACTTGATGCGGTCATGCTCAGCGACGTGCCCCTGCAGCGTGATACCATGCCCACCCACTGCAACCTGCCATACCACCAGCCACCCGCGTCCTCAGTCTGGGGCTGGCGCTTGGGGTAGAGTGTTATTTCTGCTGTGCCCTCAAGGCTGCTCTGCAGGAGGGCGCCCTCCCACAACACTTGTGTCCTAGTCCCCAAGGCTGCCCGAGGTCCCCTTGTGTGGAGAACCCCCGGGGGGAGGTCGGTTACCTGGGACACCCAAGGCCGCCTGTCAGGAGGGTCCTTGGGGAGGGAGGCAGGAGGCCGGAGCCCTCACCTGGGATGCCGGGGGCGGCAGGGAGTGCAGGAGCAGGTTTGCCGCCACAGCCTGCCAGCCGAGGCCAGGGGAGCTGGGGGCACAGGCCTTCCCAGAGGCAGCTCTGAAGCCTCAGCTGGGCAGCCACTGCCCTCTGACCCTCCTGCTCCCAGGGCTGTCACCCTCTCCTGGTTGGTGGACACAGAACTGATGGAGGCCACTTTGGGGATCCTGGTGGGGGTGGGGCTTGCAGGAGCCAGCGAGACACAAGGGCAGAGCTGACCTCAAAAGGTGGGGGCAGGTGGGCAGAGCCAGGCTGCAGCCTTGGTCCTGTCCTTCCACATCCTAAGAACTTGCCTGGGTTCCAGACCGGTCTCTGTCCCTTGGACCATGGCTTTGACTCCCTGAGCCTCGGTTTACCCCCTGGGCAGTGGATTCCTGAGAACCACCCACCCTGCGCAGCCTGCCTGTCCAGGGAACCCCTATTCCATGGCCTCTTGTGGGAGGAGTGTCTTCACAGAGTACAAGATGCCGGTCCTGCTGCCCCCTCGTTGGACACAGCCTGGCTGTCCATGGGCTGACCTGGTTGTGCTGTCCCCGGCAGAGCCAGTACGTGGGAGGGCTGGGTCCGGGGTGGTGGGCTGGCCATCGGGGCTGGAGAATTCTGGTTATGAACTCAAAGGCTGAAGTGGGCAGTTTCACTTAGTAGCCGTGTGGCCTTGACCAAGCCACTCTCCCCCACCCCAGACCCAATCTCCTCAGCTACTAAGAGGGGGAATAAAGGTACTTTGAAAATACTCTGAGCTCCGGAGGTCACATGTATTTAAGCTCCCCCAAGTTCAGAATTAGGTCCAGACTGGCTACAGCTAATGACCCTCATCCACGTGGCCAGGAGGAACTGTGAATCCCGGAGTGGTTTAGAAGCCACTCTGGTCTTTGCTGGGAGTGTGAAGTCTGGAACCATGGCAGCCACTTTGACACCAGCAGGGCAGAACTCTTTGTGGCTGGAGCGTCTCCATTTGGAACGTGAGACAGCTGAGTCTGGGGGAGCCAGAGATGAGGGACAGCACGTACTTGACCACCTGGTCCTGAACTGCTGAGTGACGCCCGACCTGAGCTCTGTTGGTTTGCAAGTCCTGCTTTTTGTTTTAGTTCAAAACTGCCGATAGACGTGCGGTATCCCACTACATTTATAGATGAACCCCCAAGCAATCGCCAGCCTCCAGACTGGGCCGGCCCCGGGCGCTTTACAGTCTCCTCGCAGTGTCAGGCCCCCAGCTTCTCACCACGCCCCGCACGGGGCCCCTTCCTAAGTGGTCCCTCTCAGCGTGCCCCTGGATGAGGAGAGAGCACCACCATCTTTTCCTGACAAAGCAGCCTGAGCAGCTTCAGCAAGGAACACCCCCAGACCCCCCTCCCTCCCGGGCAGATCTTCTGGGGTCCACCCTCCCCTCCACTGGCCACGTGGCTGCGTGGGGCCCTGTACCCCTTGGACTCCGGGTTCCTTCTTCCTTTATCTTTTGCAAGTGACCTCGCTCCTTTCCCCTCTGGACTTGTGTGGACTCTGCCCCGGGGTTTTCTGAAGCCTCACCCTCCCGGGGGCCTGGCTGGCTCCTGGACCAAGCACCAGAGTGTCCTTCCCTCCACAAAGTCACGGTCCTCTGCATCATTCCCACGCCCCACTCCCCCTGCGCTTTCGGCCTCTGAGACTCAGGGCTTCCCCCGTCCACCCCACAAACCCCCCGTCCCCTGGAACTGTCCGTCCTACCAGCACATCTTCACCCGCTCCCTGGAAGCCTCCTCTCGGCTTTTTCTTCTAGTCCTTCGACGGCCTAAAGCCTTTCCATGTCCGTACTACACTTCTCCTCCTCCCCCTGAGCTTCCCCTGCGGAGCCGCCATCCCTGCCCCGTGGGGGCAGCGCCTGTCCTCCCGGGCTGCTGAGGGCGTGAGGAGGGTCATCTGTAATTTACAGGTCACCGCCGACCCCCACCCCACCCATCTCACCGTGCCTACTGCCCAGTTTAAAGCCCAGCCTGGGGGGGCTGGGGATGGCGCCCCGTGCTGGGTCCCCTGCCCGTGGCCCTGGTTTCAATGTCCGGCCCTGAAGACGAAAAGAAAGCCCCATATGACCACCAGTTGCTCTCTGGTCCCACAGAGCGTCTGTGAAGGGGACAAACAGGATTCTCGGTGCTGCACTAGTGGGGACAGAGGAGCAGGAGGGTCACAAGGAAGGCTGGGCAGCACTGACAGAACCTAGTCCCTGTCCTGTGCCCATCAATGGCATCTGCCACCTCTGGGTAAGGCCACCGTCCCCCTGTGCAGCCTGAGGCCAAGGAAGGGTGGGAGACTGCAGCCCCCTCCCTCACAGGGACCCATGGAAAGGCCACATGTGTCCTCAGAGTGAGCCACCTCCCCGTCGTCCCTCCAGTAAAGCCAGCTGGTGCGGGGACACCCTCACCCGGGGCTACAGTGGCCTGGCTTCTGCTAGTTGTCTCCTCCGCCCCTTTCTTGTTACAGAGCCTCTCTTTCTTGGGGACATAGCCCACAGGGTGACTCCCCCACAACTTTGGGGAGCACATCTGACCCCAGTAACCAAGCTGAACACTCCATTCTTCATTGGCTCAAAGGGTGGCATGTGACCTGGAGTTACCAATCAGGATCTTCCGTGGGACATTACAGACAGTGTTTGATTTGATGACGGCTCTTTCTGCTGGGGTCGCTAAGCTGGTGGCCTAAGCCTTGGGTGCTGCAGCTGAGCCACATAGAGAGTCTCTAGAGAGATGGCAAGAAAGAAGCCTGAGCATAGGACTGAGCCCCTGGATCCAGCCATTCCTGAACCTCGGAGTCCCTTGACTTCTCAGTTGCATGAGCAAATAAGTTTTTGTTTAAGCTTGGGTAAACTAGGCTTCTGTCACATGAACCAAAGTGCTCCTTAACGCCTCTCTGGGCTCTTCCTGCTTTAGGCTTCTGGTCCCGGCTGTCTTCTGAAACCACAGGTGAGAGGTCCCCCTGAGTGGGAGCAGGGCTGGGATGAGACGCAGAATCGCCCTCTGAGCAGGTCGTGTGGGTTTGGAGACGCATTTCCAGTTCATGGAACAAATCCCCGCCCCTCTGGGGGCTGCAGGATTCCTCTGCAGGTATCCCCCAGGGGGGAGGGTGGACAGGCAGGTAGACAGGGAGAACCGAAGCTGGGACGGACAACCTGCTCATTCTCTGCTTTTAATAGTGACTAGTCAATTTCCTTCCCGAAGAGACCAGCGCTGACCTTCACCTCCAGCCCCCATTAGCTGCCAGTAATGCTTTGCCAGAGTATTGATGACAAATTAATTATGCAGAGAGGGCAGATTTCATAGGAAAAATGGATGCTCTGGTCTGGGCTGGAGTGGGAGCCGTGGTGTTCCCGCCTCCCACAGCCCGGGGAACCAGCGCCCTCAGGAACGCGCAGAGGCTGGCTACGGGTCCCCAGCTCATGCGGAAGGCAGTCAGTCCCGGAGCCGAGAACCAGACGCAGTTGTAAGCCCTCCGACTTGGTGGCTGGTATTTGACGTGATCTGGAGGCTCCAGCCCCCGGCGTGGCTGCGGTGACTTTTCCCCAGCAGGGCTGTGCCGTCCAGCTCGGGGGACAGGAGCCCTGCTCCCGTGATGACCGCAGCTGCCTCAGGCTCAGAGCCGCTGGGTTCTCGGGCCGCCGGGTGGCCTCCTGGCTTCCCTTGATTCCTGGGAGTGGCCCAACGCGGTCCCCTGCTTTCTTTGCTGTGGGCTCCCGGCCACCCTACTCTTCTGCAGTCTCTGAGTAAGTTGCCCGTCCGGCCTCCACGCCTTGGCCAGGGCGGTCCCTGCCTGGAGCGCCATTCCCATCCCACCAACTGCCCCTCAGTGTGGCCTGGCAGACGGGGCTCCAGGGCTCTCTGCTCCCTGAGAGGCCTCCTGGGCTGTGTGCCTCACTGTCCCATGTCTCCTGACGGTCACGGCTCCTGACCGTGAGCCGCCACGAGGGTGGGTCTTCTCCCCACTCTGCAGCCCCAAGCAGGGCTCGGCTTGCAGCAGGTGGCCAGCAAGGAGCTTTGTCCCACAGTCGCTGTCCCTGGAGGTGTGAAAGTGAACAGACAGGGCCACAGAGCCCCGTAAAGTCCCCAGCCTTGGAGGGGACCCCTGAGGTTGTGCAAGGGACTCCTGAGGTTCTTGCCTGTCCAGCGGTCCCACGAAGGCTGAGCAAGGGGGACCCGCTGACGGTCTCCTTGTTCCAAGGATCAGCCCTGTGACTCAGATTGGCCAGTCCCTGCTGATTGGTCAGAGAAGGTCACCTGACCCCTGGGCCAGCCAAAGACTTGCTTGGGACTGCAGAAGGTCAGGGAGCAATTTGCTCTCTGAGAGTTCAGCTAAGGAATCCTAGATCAATTCTAGAGAAGGGAGGATTCTAGAGGTCAGGTGGGCATGACAGTCCTTGAAGGCAGGACTTCAGGGAAGAGAAGAGTGTGGGTGGGCGTCTCAGTGCATCCGGCTGCTGTAGCAAAACACCTCTGACTGGGCACTTTATAAACACTAGAAGTTTAATGCTCACAGCTCAGGGGGCTGGGAAGGCCGACGCCAAGGTGCCACAGCTCCGTGTGCCGAGGGCTGCTTGTTTTGAAGATGGCACTTGTTGCTGTGTCCTCCCAGGGAGGGAGGCTGTGCGCAAAGGGGAGAAACCAGCTCCCTCAGCCTCCTGTCAGGGCGCCCGTTCTGTCACGAGGGTCTGTCATTGCCAGGCCCCCCCATTGCTGCGGCTCTGGGGGAGCTTAGACGTGAGTTTGCGACGTGAGCGCACAAGTGCTCAGACTCGCGCAGGCAGCCGTAGCGGAAGGCCAAGAGGCAGGACCTGCCCAGGCCCCAGAGAGAACAGAGAGCCCACCCAGCCAGCCCTCCTCTCGGCACCAAGGCCGCCTCTGGCCAGTCTTCAGCCTGAGCCCTTCCCCACCCTGAAAGCCGGCTCCTGCTGGCCAGATGTGGGCAGCGGGCAGGTCCAGAGTCCATGAGACAAGACACCCTGCGCAGGTTCCCCGGCACCTGCCGCCTCCCAAGTGCAGCCCCAGGTCCCTGCTACTCGCCCCCCTCCAGCTCCCTGCGTCCACCCACAGAGACACTGTGCTCTGCAGCGGGGGGACTGCTGTTTCCAAGGGTCATCTCCCTCAGCTTGGGGGTGAGCTGCGCAGGATTGCCCGGGGCTTCCTGGCCCCCGTCTTCGGGGACCTCGCTTGTGGACGGCTCGGCTTCAGAACTGGGATCTGTGGGAAGAGAAGACATCATCGAAGGAGCACGAGGCCCCTGGAGTAACCAAGGCCATCCAAAGAACTGGGGACTGAGGCCATGGTCCCCTCCTTGCCCAGTGGACACCTGAGCGTCCTCGCTCCCAGGCCCAGCCCTTTCTGAACACTGCGGCAGCTCCGGCTCCCCTCAGGCCCTTGGCTTTGCCCGGATGGCCTCCAGCGGGGCGGTAAAATCCCGGGCCTCACCACGGTCCCCGCTTGCCCAGTGGCTGCCCCCCCCCCCCGCTCACTCCAAATAAGATGTGGCTTTCACCTGGGCCTCCAGCCTCAGCCGCCCCTGTCACAGCCACGGCCCTGGGCCCAGGGGGTCAGCCCTCTTGCTCCCTAGCCTCTGCCTGGTCACCAGCCGGCCACCCTTGTCCCCAGCCCAGGGCTTTCCCAGGTTTCCGCTGGGCAGGAGCTCCTTAGCCACACATCCACCCCACCCCTGGCCTCCCCAACTGCCCCTCTGCATCTGCAGGAGGCTCCCTGCCTGGCCCGGGAACTCGCCCCTCCCCCAGGCCCTACGTGGTCTCACTGATTCCCGGGACGTCCCAGGGTCCTGGAGACAAGTGGGAAGGTGGGAGTGAGGCCTGGGTCTGCTCACTGTGCTGGGGCTTCAAGGACGGACCCTCAGGACCTGGGATACATGACCCTCGACTGCAGAGGCCGGCGGATGGAGGCTGGCCTGTCCACTAGAGTCTGCCAATCTGGTTTTGTGACCACTGGCGAGATTTTATCCCAAGTCCTGGAAGACCGGGAGCTGAATCCCCCCGCACCACCTTCTCCACACTGAAAGCAGAACCTCGGCCGCCCGCCTCTGCTCCAGGCCCTTCTCTGGCTCCCACTGCCTCTCCCCTCCCACAGCACCCCCTCTGCAGCCTGGAGCTGGGCTCTGGTGCATGCACACCCCCACCCGCCTCTAGGCTGTTGCCTGTGCTGTTCTGCCCACCAGGTATGCCCTCCCCAGCCTGTGCCCACCTCGAGCGGTCCCCTCAGCCCCGGCACCCTCTTCTCCTGCACAGTGGAACCCCTGGCTCTGAGCCAGAGGGTCACGTCCCTAGGGGCAGAACATGGCAGGATTGCTAATTGCGCATGTCCTTTCTCTTCTTCTTGTGGCAGAAGGACCCCTCTGCTGACACTCAGCTGGGCCCAGGCTGCCCAGCCCACCTTGGGGCCACATGCAGGCCCCTGGAGTGGGTGCAGAAGAGGGAGGTGAGCTCCCTCCCAGGGGGTGGCCAGCGCTCTGTGACCACTCCTCCCTCTCCCGGCTGATGGCAGTTTCAACCCCACAGTCAGGACAGAGTCCTGGGACAGCTGAGCATCAGCAGAGAAGGACTCAGGTCAGTAGATGACCTCGAGGACAACCCAACCGGGACCCCAGCAGGTCCTGAAAGAGGCCTGAGCTCTGGGCAGGTGACACTCATGCCCGGGGCCTTGTGGCTGCTGCAGGGCCGCCCACCCCCCAAAAGTCTCGCTGGCTGTGGTGTCCAGCGCCTCTCAAGGTCACATTAATGACTGCACCTCCTGCTGCTGACCGTGCCCTGGGCTGGGCAGGCAGCTGAGCACTTCGCCTGCTCGTCCAATCCCCTCCTCACAAGGCCTGCGGGGGTCACTACGCTGCTCTTGTCACCCCCTTACAGAGGAGAGGTCGGAGGCCCAGCGAGAGTGAGGCTCTGGACTGGAAGAGGTGACGTCAGTAGCCACTCCACCTGTCCTCACCATCATCCACCCTGCTCCCAGCCCTGGGAAATGGGCGGCTGGGGGCCAGGGGAGGGGACCAGCCCACCTGCGCCCTCCTTCAGCTCCCCGGGGTCCTGCCGGCCATCTCCAGGCCCCGCGGCTGCACCTGGCCTGGCGGTCTCTGGGCCTGCCGGGAGGACGGTCATCCTGTTGCTGTTGCCGATGGTGGTGTATTCGAGGAAGCAGGACTTGATGTGGACTCTCTGGACTGCGTCCGCCTTGGGGTGAGGGTCTGGCTGGGGCATTCGCATTTCAAATGAAGCTTCCGAGTCACCGTCACCGGCCGTGGCTGAGACTGCGCACCAGCCAAAGAGACGCCGGAGGGTGGGCAGCTGGACGGTGGCCCCAGAGCCCAGCTCCCAGCCTGGCTCCAAGTCCTCCTTGCTGACTTCACCAGTGGCCGCCTGGCTCAGTCAACAGCCGATGCCCACGCCCTGTTCACCACCAGGCAGCCACTCCTCCTGTCCTCCAGAGCCCCCAGAGGACCTGGCACCTCAGCCTTTCTCTGGGCCCCAGTGATTCCTCCCTCATCTCATCTCTCTGCTTCCTGGCAGGGCTGGGTCAGGGTCTCCACCTTTGGTTTTGCTCATGCCCAGCCCCAGCCCCTGCCATCTGGCTCCTCCACCCAGACTTCTGGAAAGAGCTGTCCACACTCAGTCTGGTCTCCCTCCCGACCTCCGATCCTTGCTGGCAGAACCCCACACTCTTCCCCTGGCTGACCTCTCCCCCAGTTGGGCCCCTGCTCCCGGGCCCCCTATCCCGTCTGTCCCTGCCTGGGAGGCCCTGGCTCAGGGCCTCTGGTCACTGTGCTGACCCTGCTTCAGCTGGCCAGCCTCGGCTTCTCGGAGAGGACGTGCTGCTCTTACAGATGGGGAAACCGGTCTCCGGCTGGTCGGTGCTAGGGGACGGGGACCCAGCGTGCCATCTCTAAATACCCCACCTGTCCCACAGAGTTTCAGTCTCTTGGAAGGAAAAGACCCCCTGAAAAGACTCTGGCTCCTGTTCCTGCCCCCCCGGAACTGAGTGGGGCGGGGGAGAACGTGGCCACAGGACTCCAGTTACCTGGGGGGCTGGATGAGAGGTTGTGGGCAGGACCTTCCGGCAGGTCTCTGTGGAAGCTCATCTTGTTGCTGTGTCCCACCTGCACCCGTCTGAGCAGGGACCACTCCAGGTGGATTTCCTGGGACCCCCAGCCACCTGCCAGGGGTCCCTGAGCCGAGGAATCACCTGGGGCAGTTGGGGGCAGCTGGTTGGGAGCTGTGGGACCTAGAACAGTGACACAGTGTTAGGAGGGGCACCAGGATGTCTGGACTGGAGAGCAGGTAGCCAAGGAGCTGCAGCCAGGGTGTCCTGAGTGGGGCCCTGCCCAGGGTCCCACGGGGACACCTGCAGTCTCAGTAGTCACCCGTTGCCTGCTTCCTGGTCCTTCTCAGCCTTCTGATCCCATCAGGAGACCCTTCCGTGGTGTAAGCGTGTTCTCAACACGTCATTTCATCTCCCGGACATTTATCTTTATGGTGAACTTCATGGCTTTCAACTTAGGGGAAAGCTAAAATTTTTATTTTAAAATATATTCAAGTCGGGGGTGGGGAGTGAACCATTCAACAGCACTGATTAAACAAACAGGGACGTAGCCAAAATCAAGGAGGTGACATGGGAGGATTCACACTGGGGAGATGATCATCAAGACATCAGAACAGAGTTCCTCATCTCACATCTGGGAGACTGAGGCCCAGGGGAGAGCCTTGCTCTCCCAAGGTTATGGGATGCGTCTGAATTTGGGGCAGGTGTTCTCACACAGGGTGCCGGGCTGGACTGAAAGAAGTTGGCATCCTTGCGCCCTGGTGCCTGGCATGGAGCCTGTTCAGCCTGCAGCTCTGCATTTCAACAAAACGAACATGTCTCTGCTGACCTGTACCCCAACCTCCAACACATGCTGATGTGGGGAAAGAAGTGTGTCCAGAGAAAATGAAATATTTCCACAGTGCACTTGTGATATTCTGCTGACAAAGAAGAATTTGAATTATTTCTCATTGAATTATTTCTCAAAATACTGCATTCCATTAAAAAGAGCAGAAGGTATTGGAGTGAAGGGACAGCAGGAGAGGTTGGATCCAGGCTCCCTCATTCTCACAACAGCTATAAAGGAGGGCCGTGGACATTGGGAAGCTGTCCTTCCTCCTTGGAGGATTGAGTCCCCCCACAAGCCCTCTGAGGTCCGTCCTCCTGGGTGCCTGTCAGATGACTTACCGCTGTCCTCAGAGACGTTCTGCTTCATTAAGATGTTCCCGTGTCCGATCTGGATGCCTTCAGAGTTTGTGATGGTAATGTGGCAGTTGGGTCCATTCTGGCAGATCATGTAGACTGGATTCTGCTGGCACACTGCTACAGCAGATTGATTTCTTCCTTCAGAATCTTCTGCAAAATAATATTCCACTCTATCCCTTTGCACCTCTTTAGGGGTCTGAGGCTCCAGATGCCAGTTGGCAGCACCAAATTTCCCTGGAGAGTTTGTTAAAAGGATTCCCAGGCACCAGATCTGGGAATCTGGGAACCTGCGTGGGGTGACTCCAGCCTCACATGATGGACAGCTGCTCGGGTGTCACAGACGGAGCTCAGGGTCAAGATGGCAGGTGGCCCCCCTGGTGTCTTGCTGCCCCGCCACCCAGGCCCAGGATGGCTCCTGGGAGGATTGCAGGAGTCACGTCCTCTCTCCCTACCCTCTGTCCCCCTCCCTGGGAGGCACCCACAGCTCCAGGCCCTGAACCCCAGGGGCCTCTCCCCTGTATCAAACACTCAGATGCCCCCCATGACTAGTGACATTGATTTGAACTTGTCACCGATTTGAACTCCAGATGCTATCCCACCTCATCAATCCTTCCCCACGTTGCTGACCCCACATGGGCACTGTGGGGGTGTGGGGAGGCTCCTTCCCCAGCTCTGCGGACCCACCAGCCACAACACCACCTCCAAGGCCCTTGGCCGTGGTGTCTTTGTGGGTGGGCTCTTTCATCCATATGGAAATAAAATTAAATTATACTTTATGACTGCGTGGGAGGAAGACAAAAATCATCCAGGCTGCGTTCATTCCTAGATGTCCGTTATTGTTAAAATGTTTGTTTTTCTTCTGACTTTAAAAGAAATCAATATGGAAACCTCTTTGCAGCCTCTGGGGTGACCGAGGCTCTAGGCCCTGGGTGCCTGAGGCTAAGTGGCCCTGGATGCTACACTTGAGGGGCCTGAGCCTTGCCTCACCTTCTCTTGGCCAACTTTAAAATCCCAAGATCGCGGCTCAGCCCGCCAGCACTTTCTCTCCCGGAACCTTCTCCAGGGGACGGTCAGTGCGACCTCTGGAAGCTTCTGGCAGGTTCTAATGAAGGGGAGCAGGCAAAGTGCTCAGAAGGACACTCGCCAAGGACTGGGTGCTGGGCGCGATGGCTTCTCTTGGGTGCTGCGTGCGAGCGCGTGGACAGCAGGGGAGGCCTACCTGGTGCAGAGACGCGCCACACTCGCAGCTTCTGGTCCTGGTCCAGAAGGTGCTTGCTTTTCATCTTGTACAAGGTTGGGTTCACGTCCTTCGCTGTCCTCATTCCCAGGGCCTGGGCGATGCGCAGGGCCTTGCAGGGCCCGTTGGCTTTCAGAAACCCGTAGATCCTTTCCTCTGGGAGGCAGGGCGACTAGGTGGTTAAGGAGACCCCGTTCCCAAGTGTGGGTCTGCCCGCTGCTCGCTGGCTGTGTATCTGGGGACAGGGGCCCGTGACCTGGGTGGAGCAGCAGGGATACCCCGCGGACAGCTGTGACCTAGGATGTGTGCCAGGTGCCGCAGCCCTGCGCCTGGCAGGTGCACAGAAGCGGCAGAGAAACAATTTCTCGGCCATTTAGATTCTTGGGCTGCCGCAAAGACCAACTCTGGCCTCGGGACCTTTGGTAGGAGCCCCTTGGGTAGGACTGGACTCAGCACTGGTGACACCTTGTACCTCTGGGAGGGCTTGGGGGTGGGGGGCGGCAGGGCTGGACGAAGCTGAGGCTGTGCTTACCCAGCTCGCTGAGCTGAGGGCCGGGAGTCTCTGCCGCGGCAGCTGCTTCTTCCTGGGGCTTCTGGGCTGGAGGAAGACAGGCGGGTGGGGGCTGGGCACGGGCTGGGAGAGCAGGCTCCAGCTCTGGGGTATGTGAGGCCAGGTGAGCGTAGGTGCCCACTGAGTGTCAGGCTTGGTGTCCGAGGGCTCTGGGGCCAGAACTGGGCTCAGGTGTCCTTGAGTTTGCTCGGCCACCATCATGGTCACTGTGATGTTGCCATCATTGTTTTCCTTACCACGTGTGCTTTGCTGTGACCTACTCTGCTGGTACTGGGCTCTCTGCACCTAGTCCTCCCAGCAGCTCCTACGAAATGGCCCTACTGTCATCGCCATCGACCAGAAAAAGTAAAGATGTCCCCAAGTGGCAGAGACTGGATTCAAACCCAGGCCCAAATCTGTGCTTGTCTATTGCCCAGATGTCTCCCGTGGGCCCAACCCACCCAGGAACGCAGTTTACCATGGCTGTCCTGGGCAGGCTGGGTGGGATCCACACCTCCGGGATCACCTGTGCCCAAGCGCCATGTTGCGGGGGCAACTTGGGAGACTGTCCCCTCCTTGGCCATTCGGTAGAGGACTGAGTTGAGCTCCTTCTTGAGCACTTGGCATTCCTTCGCCAGCTGGTAGGACTTCAGAGGGGAGCTGGCATCTCCCAACACCTGCAGGATCTTCTGCTCAAGGTGGCCTGGGAGGAGAGGAAGGCAGAGAGAACTGAGCCCCAGGTCCCCTGGGTGGAGAGGGCCAAAGGCTCCAGGAGGCCAGGGAGGCCCCCTCTTGAGTAGGGTCCAGGGCAGAGACCATCCATGGCAGCCAGTAGAGCCTCTGTGTGGAGAGACAAGCACATGGGCTGGACGGGTGACGGGGACAGAGGAGGTGCACACCCTCTCCATGTGCCCTCCCGGGCGTGGCACCACGGCAGGTGGGAACGCTCAGCTCGCCACATCCCAGGAGCAGGGGGTGGAAGTGGGGGCAGGCACGTCTGGCCCAGGGCCTTTGCCATCGGTGCTTCTGATGCCCCTGCAGTCAACCTCAGTGGTGCCGTTCTGATCCGAGCCACAAGCCCCACAGACATTCGGAAGCAGGTCTTTCCTCGGGTGCCCAATCATGGAGTCCTGAAATGCCACACTCAGGTCTCTCTTGAGTCCTGTGCTTCCCCATTTCTCTGCCCCCACCACCATCTCCAGGATGGTGGGGTCCACCAAATGCAGCCATTTCCCCTGGGGTCTCCTCTGCACCTGACCCCCGCTTCTCTCCAAGGGCCCCGTGCTCCTCCCAGTCCACTTGCCTGCATGTGGCCCTACTCAGAAAGACCCTCTCGGACCCGTCCAGCATCTCCTCGTCCTCTGCTCAGAGCCATCTCCTCTGGGAAGCCTCCTCCCTGTGCTTGCTGGTGTTGGCTGCTCTGGCTGGGTCCCCTGCAGAACATCCCCACGGGGTCCCTGTTGTTTGCCTGGTTCCCTGTCAGACCTTTGATGTCTTGCCCAGGGCCAGGCACACAGTAGGTGCTCATGGAATGGAAGTTGAGTGAATGAGTGAGTGAATGAGTGAATGCTTTGTCCTCTGCTTGGACAGACACTGCCCAGTTGGCCCAGGGCCACTGGCATGTTGCTTCCTGGTCTGAGCACAAGGAGCCCTAAGCCTTGTGGGGACTCAAGGAAGAACTTTGCAAACAGCCCCTACTCCTCCTAGGGCAAGGCCTGGAAATCAGAGCCATCACCTCCCATCATTAACACAAAAACAAAAACCCCAGGGGCGCTGCCAGCTGCCAGCATGACTCAGACGCTGTGTACAGGTGACTGGTGACGCCCAGGGAACAGCAGCCGGGAAAGCCTCATGGGCGGTGGCGTGGCCTGGCCTGTCACCAGGAAGTTTCTGCCCCTAAGAATACTGCAGGTGGTGTGAAGAGGGTTCTCCTTGGGACTGCCTGGGTCCCTTCCTCTGCCATCTGGGGTTTCTTTCCTGATCAGCAGACAGTCAGCTGGCCCTGGCCCCAGCAGAGGCCCTTGTGGGGCGGAGTAATGAGCTTGTGACCCCACAGTTGGGGCTGGGGCTTGTTCTTGTGATCAGAATGTTGCTACCCTGCTGGGAGCAGGTGGAGAGCAATGAGAAGATCAGGCTCACCCACTCCTCCTTCACCCACCAAGTTTACCCAGGGGAGGGGCACCCAACCAACCCTGCACCTGGCTTTGTCTTGTCTTGCAAAAAGTGTAAGTTCTTGAGGAGCCCACCCTGAGCGCTGCGGGGCCACCCAGACCCCAAAGGACAGGTGGGGTCAGGGAGGTGGATGAAGAGCAAGCCTGAGAGCCTCTGGGTCTGACAGTGGGAGGTTGTGGACCAGAGCAGGGGCAGGGGACAAGCCCAGCAACAAGGGAAGTCGCTCGGGGAGGCAGAAACTCCTTGCCCGGTGCCTGCAGCGTCCTACCAGGAAGAGCGGGCACTAGTCACAGCCAGTGCTCCTGGCTCACAGCCGGCTGCCATCACTCCTCCCCAGCGCTCGCTTCTCCTTTTTAATCTCTGGTGAACTGAGCCCCTGCTGCACACGCCCCGTGCCTCAGTTTCCCCACAGGTGAAACTGCGGCAACAGCAGCGACTTTAGGGATTCAGCAAAACACAGAACAAGAGCAAAAAAAAAAAAATGAAAACCACCCATGTGCGCAGGCGCTTAGCGGGGCCCCTAGAAAGGAGCGGCCCTCCATGCTGGCTGAGGCGTTCTCCCTGGTGGCCTCCGGAGGAAAATGGTCACCAAGGAAAGAGTATAACCCACAGAAAACAGGAGCATGTGCCTTTTTTCCAAGCACCAAGCTTTGGTTCTCAGATGACTGTGCAGAGCCACTGGTGCTTGGCGGCTGTGACAGCCGGGGACTTCACGATGCAGGGCCCCGGTTGTGCCATCTAGGAAATGGGACAGCACTGCCCTTGATACTGGGGGCGTTTCATGCACCTAGACACAGGAGCCTTTGGAGGGATGGCTCGGTTCCCTGCCCCACTCCGTCCCCTGTTCTCCAACACACTGCTGTTACCTGGGCCAAGCAACCTCTGGAAAGAAGGAGGAACCCGCCCCCAGCCCCAGGAATTACCCGTGCTCCCTGGAGGAGGAAGAGCCTTACCTCTCTTGCTTGGGTCAGCAGGAGCCTCGGCCATGCTCACAGCAGAGGCAAGGGGCCCAGTGGACCTGGGAGCAGGTACCTGTGCTGTGGCCTTGCGGGTATGAGCCGCAGGAGGCTGGGCATCTGAGCCCCCACTCGGGGAACCTCTGAACCCACAGGGAAGCTGTCAGCTTCGGCCCACAGCTGTCAGGACTCACACTCCAAACACAAACGCCCAGTCCGCCCCACCCCCTCAGGAGAAAGAGAAAATGAAACTTTGTGTGGTTTTTCTCGGAAAGAAACAGAATCGAAAGCAGGACCCATGAGGGAGCGAGGGTGGACCCCAGCATGATGTGGCCAGGCAGCAGCTGGGATTGGCAAGGCTGGGCGCCTCTGAGGTGGCCTCCCTCCCCTCCCAGCACCCAGTGCTGACTGCCAGGCCCCACATGGAGGACAGGATGCTTCGGTGGGTGGGTTCTCTGCATTTGTTCCTGCCTTTCCAGGGGCCCCACTTTAAGAAGCACCTACTATGTGAATTCCAATGCATTGGCCTCCCCAGCTCAGCTACAGAGAAGGGCTGACTCTGCCTTCTTTCTTCAGAGAGGAAACTGAGGGATTTGATCTGTGATACCCAGAAGTCAGGCATGGTGAACCCCCAGCCCACACACCAAACTGAGGCCCCACGCTCATGGGAACATGCTCCCTAATTTCAGAATTGTGGGTGGGATGACTGCCTTCCTGCACCAACTTCCCACCGACCACAGGGTGGCACCTGGGACAGTGCTGCTCAGCAGTTAGGGACTCCCGCAGGAGGCCAGGATTTGGGGTTCAAACAGCCCCCCCACGTACTAGCTGTGTAACCTGGGGCAACTTATTTATCCTGTT